TGTAGTTTTCTTTGCATAGTATTTTACATCTCTGGTTAGATTTATTCCTAAGTATTTTATCTTCTTGGGGGCTATTGTAAATGGTATTGATTTGGTGTCATGTTAACTTTTATTTCAATCTTGTATTCTCTAGCACTCCCAAACTTCTGGGAATATCTCACCTTCCTAGCCAGAAGATCTCTCTCTCATTCATCCACCTCATCCTTGCCTCACTGCTCCACCACCACTGTGTTACATGCTCCCACTGCCAAAGATACCCTGAGGAGTATGGTTGTCTTTCCCTGGGTTACATTTTCCTTCCTCCTGTCCAAGGAGTCTCTCTGGTTCTGGCCCCTTCTGACATAGGCCAGTCTCCACAGAGCGTGAGGACTAGAGGGAGAGGGTAAAGGAGCAATTTCTACGTAGTCATTTTCCCAGTTAATGATTAGTTTTTCATAAGTAACAAAGAAGAAACAAAATTTATTCCTTACTGGACCACTCAGATACACATCCTGAAGCCTCTGATGGGAGAATACACACCAGTGGAGGAACATGTACTTGTATATGTATATTTACATTTATATATAAATGTATGTTTACACTTAAATGTAAATATTTCTGTGGTCAAAGAGCTTATGGCCTTCTCCAGCTTGGGAACCTCACTGTTGAATCTCCTCTTTCAAAAAGCCTGCATTACTAGTTTATGTAGACTCATGATGTATTATTTTCTTTAGTTATTTATTGAAACTAAAGATAATAATAGCCCTTTTGCTTAATGTATTTCCTCCCTATCTTCACCATAACCCCTACTCATTTTTTTAATGAATAATACACACTGAGTCGATAAATGGGAGAAAGATGTGATTTGAATTCTCATATGTGTACATAGACATTGACTTTGAGGAATGCAGTATATTTAGACAGTGTCCCTCTTTTTAAAAGACTTATAATCAGATTTTTTTCCTTTAATTTACTTTAGATGACGGTTTACAGAGCAAACCAGTTTCTCGTTAAACGATTAATACACACACTGTCCTGTGACATTGGTTGCTAACTCCACAACATGTCAACATTCTCTCCTTTTTGACCCCAGGTTCCTCACTACCA